ACATGCAACATATGCGGTAAATATATTTATTAAAGAAACTATGTTATTCATTTATTTAACTATTTCAGTCATTAACAAAATTTATTAATCAAATAATATTTTTTACAAATAGATGATTTATTTTCTCATTTTCCTATTATATAGGGGAAGTTGGGGAATAACTGTCCCCGTTACGTTTGGATTAATGTTATATAAAATTAGAAACGAAATGTATTTTTTAAATAGTTTATTTCAATAAACACATTATTAAGCTTTAAATTGATGCAAATAAGAGAAAAGTTAAACGGTTTTAGAAAATGTTATTACACAAAAATTACACTTAGTGAAAAAAACGATTTTGCTACCATTATGAGGCACAACTGCACCCTTCACAAAAATTGTTGGGGGTATACTTTTCTTGGTACATTTTCTTTAAAATTGAAACAGCTCAGATTATTTGCTGATTTTGTTGCATGCTTGCATACTGTATAAGTATTCATTGTACTTACAGCCTGAGTTTTCTCATTCGATATACTCTTAGCTTTATATTTTATTCAAAAACTCATTTATAAAAATTAAATAAAAAATATGAAATCTAATTTCCAATATCTCAAAACAAAACTATTTCTATTCAAGTTTTTACATAAATGCATTCAAGTGTGATGATTGTAATTATTGTTCGCAACTACCTAACTTCAATAAATATTAAAAGTATGCGGTTGTGCCTCCTGTGCGTCTATGCGGTTCTACCCCAGAGGACAGTTTTTAGATAGAATACAGTTTCATAGCTTGCTTATTAGGTTATGTTGATATTAAAAATGGTTTTCACTTAATAAAATAATGCTGATAACACATATCTTAAACACTAAAATCAAATATTGCTTAATACTCAAAAAAAAAGGATGGAAAAATATGATCAAAATAAGAGAAAAATTAAAAATCGCTCTCGAATACTGACCACGGAAATTATATTTAGTTGCGAAAAACTGGCCAGGTTTTTTAGTCGTTTTGAGAACATTTAAGTTTATGTACGAAACACAAATTTTTTGTTTTACGGACATACATGGAAACATAATAAACTTGAATGTTCCCAAAACATCTTTGTGCGAAAGAATAAAAAGAATATTCCCGAACACTAAAAACCCGCCAAATTAACATAGAAACTAATTCTATTGGTTCAAAAAATACTTTTAAAGCAATTTTTATGATTTAAACAAAGACTTACAAAAATAATTGCGTTTTCAATGAAGTTATAATCGTCATAGTTAATAAAACTAATTATGTAACAAACATATAAGAAGTTTCTAGTTACTAAACACAAACAACGCGTACAAAGTAACTCGCAGATGAACAAGCACCGCGCCTAAGGTCACGACAGAACACAAATACATATAGCAAATAATTAGATATAAAGAAAAGTTACTAGATATTGGTTTACTAACTCTAATTATTTTTGCTTAAGTTGCCATTCTAAAAACTCGTTATTCCTTTTTCTGCTTTAAATACCAATTAAAACTAAAAAGCCCACTCACTAAACATCACCAGCGATATTGTGAAGCAATTTCGCTTCTTCGTCATAAAGTATTGTCAACCTTAAGTTGATTTCTATATTGTTAATTTAATTTCTATGATTTAATTATTTCATTTGTTTATCTTACTAAGAAGAATTGCTTCAAATATGTTAAACTTTTCAAACTACGCAAAACATAAAATAGGTATTGAAAAAATTAACTTTATTATTTATAAAATAATTTAGCTAAAGTAAAACTAAAACTTGCAAACTTTGTTAAATAAAGAATATTTGTTTCCTTTTTAAACAATCGTAAGTTGTTACTTTATATAAAAAAAATTGCTTAATTTTATAAAAAAAATTATAAAAGAGCGATGTTTTGAAAATATTTGTTTTAAACGTAATTTATTTAGCTTTAAGTTTTTTCGCGTTTAAAGATATTTTATTTACCTACGCTTTTTTTTTACGCGTTTAAAGATAATTTATTTACGCTTTTTTTTTTTTGCTTTTTAAAATGTTCTCAAAACGACTAAAAAATCTGGCCAGCTTTTCGCAACTAAATATTATTTACGTGGTCAGCAATCGATCCCGCTTCCCGACCAAGCCTGATATTGCAATAATATTTATAAACAGTGTTCAGACTAAAATAAATAAATATAGAAGTTGTGATTAAGTTCCCTAGCAAGCAACATTGGTTCAATATTGGTACAATATATATCAAAATGTTGACTAAATATAAACCTGAAATTTTTCGAAACCCGGGGCCAGGTTTGCAAAAAGTTCTATTTTGCATGGGTTATTGAGGAAACCACCAAGCAGCGATTTCCTCAATTACTCATGTTAAAGAGCAGAGCAACATACTACATTGTTGAAAAAGGATTTTATGCTTTTGTGATTTAGCTGCTGAATCTCATAGTGAACCATTTGCTTCTTTATCATCAACAATTGCAATAATCGAGTTTATGATAAATGTTCATGAATACTCATAAACTTCATAATAAGTGAAATAAGTAAAATGAAAAAATAATGTTAATTTAAAACTTGAAAAGAATAATTGTTGAACGCACAAAAAAGAATTAAATGAATCTACTGAAATCATTAAATGATTCATTGTATATTCCATTTAAATATGACTACACTTACTACATTTGGCAAAAAAAATAATTCAACGGATTATTTCTAATAATTTTTATGAAACAGAAAATAACAGTGAATTTGTTTCTATGGAAGAAAAACAATTGACTATAGAAAAAGTACTGCAAAAAGTGAAATAAAAATCAGTATCAAGAGAGTCACAAATCAGGGATAACCAATTTGTTATTAAGAGTACAAAACAAGAATCAGGTCTTCTTGTAAGAGGAGAGCGATCGCACACTTTACATGACCACGCATATAGTTCTTTGTTTTAACAACTTGACCACGGCTCTTTGCAAGTTTTGATAATTAGCGCATTTAAAAAATGCGCTAAAAAAAAACAAATGCAATTTTTTAATTTAATTGATTCCATAATTACAATTAAATTCCCACAAAATTTCCTGAGTACTAAAGTACTCTAGAAGGTTTCTGAGTACTAAAGTATTCCTGAGTATTCTTAAGTACTAAAGTACTCACGAAGTTTTAATTAAGTTGCATTAAAATGCAACTTATTTCAAAGCAATCATTGAAAAAAATATTCAGATTAGAGTTTAAAGCAAAATGAGTACTATCAAAAAATAATTACAAACCCATTTTATCATGGAAATATAATTTCTAACTAAGAAATTATTTACAAAAAAAAAAAGGAATTACAATAATCTGGAAACAATCGTTTCCAGATTATTGTAATTTTTAAAAAAAGCATGCTAAACTTTATTTATAATGAATACATTTGCTTTAAACTTTTAATGTAATTGCTAAAAGCATAAAAGAAACCATCGTTAAACGTTATGTCGCTTATCTCAATAAAAGAAAGCAATCAAAATCTTTGAGCATGGTTTCTTTTAAAGTTTTTGCAAAAGCATTCATTTTAAGTAAAATTATGTATGCATTTGTGAGCGCATGCAAAAACCATGCTAAAACATAATTATTCTTTCTATAGCATATTTAGTTATTTTATTTAAAAGTGACGCTATCGAAAAAAGTACTTATGTTCTGGCATTAATTTAAGCCTGTGAAACTAATTGTTTTTCATATTAAATATGTGTTTTTTATAATAAATAAAAAATTAATGATCGCAAAATTATTTTGAAAAAAAATTGCTGAAGTGACACGTTCATTTTGAATTAATTAAACGGTAACATTTGCATAAGCAAAATTAAAGAAATGTGATGTTTGTTTTTCTGTCTGTCTTTTACGAAATGCATTCACATTTGTCGATTTGTCGCACCCTGTATCCTATTAATTTTTTAATAAAATTTTAAACTTGCACCACAAAATTTTATTAAATTTCATGGCGCTTTTAAACAGTCTACGTTACTTACGTTTTTAAACATCAATTTCTGAAAAAATAAATAAAAAATCTGATGGGAGGGGGGGGCCCTTTCCCTCACAATGGATTCGCCCTTGTATTAGCCTAAATATTCAGGAAAAGGAATGATAAAGTTTATTAGAGCTGTGATAATTTTTTTTTTTTTAATTTCGTTTACAATTAAGTTTTTTTTTCCTGGTTTTTCCTTTATTTATTTTATCATTCTTTAAACATTTTATTTTTTTAGGTTAATTTTTGTATTATATATTATTTTAAGGATTTTATGCTTTTTTTAGTTTATGGATTGTTTATTTTAATTTTAATTTGCTTTGTTTTTTTTAGCACATTTTTTAAACGCGCAAATTATCAAAACTTGCAAAGAGCCATGGTTAAGTTGTTAAAACAAAGAACTTTATGCGTGGTCATATAAGGCCTGCGATCGCACGCCTCTTACGAGAAGGCCTGAGAATTTACATTATGTCCCAATACTTGAAAACAAACCAAAAAATTTGGAAAAACTATTTGATGCTATTTATTAATCAAGCTAATATCTACCAATTTTGAGCAATTATTTTTAATATCAGCTAATTTCTGTATCAAAATCAAATCACCATTATCTGATAAATTGTTGAATGTGTAATAATAAAAAAAAATATATTTTATTTTAAATTAAACAAAAAATTATAAAAACTAAATTAAAACATTATTTGATTTTAACACATGAAGAGTTTAATTGACTGGTTATCTGATACCCAATGGCAAACTACAAAAAAAATGCAAAAAAAAATGTTCATGATATTCATTGACACTTATCATGCTGATGGCATGTATTAAGGTGTGTATGGCATTATTACATATATTAAGGTATGTATTAAGACATGTATTATGGTGTGTATGGCATTATTAAGGTAAGTATTAAGGTCTAACCTGGCATCATTGCATTATGGCAAAACCATGACTTACTGTTACAAAGCCTATGACATTAGCTTTGTTAAAAAAGTTGATATATATAAATATTATACTTGATTATATTAAATATATAGAATTTTAAATAAAAAAAGATACCTTCTACCATTGCCATACATTCTTTTTCAATATTTTGTTCACCATATAGGTAATGTCATTTTATATACAAAATTTTGCTATATAAATTTATATATATATATATATATATATATATATATATATATATATATATATATATATATATATATATATATATATATATATATAATTTATATATATATATGTATGTATATAAATATATATATATATATATATATATATATATATATATATATATATATATATATATATATATATATATATATATAATTTATATATATATATATGTATGTATATAAATATATATATATATATATATATATATATATATATATATATATATATATATATATATATATATATATATATATATATATATATATATAGAGAGAGAGAGAGAGAGAGAGAGAGAGAGAGATACAAAGTGTTAAGAAAAAAAACGGAAAATTTTGCCTAACTTAAATCAGATTTTTTTTTTTTTAATTTTATATTAAATTTCTTGGTTATCATATTTCAGAGGCAATACTTAGTGAGCATGGTAAACATTGGTAATGACAGCAAGACAACAATCCAAAGCATACCAGGCCACTTTCTACAGAGTTTATTTGCAAAGTTTTAAGTATTAAATTTTGAAACGGTATGCAAATGTATATTTTTTCTGATGATTATAACCTGGAAAAAATATTAATTTAACTTATTGTTTACTATAAAAATAAACTTTAATTACTAAATGTAAAAAAAGATTACGGCATTTTTTTACCAAGCTATATTATAAATGGTTTGAGACTTTCGAACTGACTTATCTGTTAATCAATTTTATGGTTACAAAGTTATTTGTGCCATTTTAAACTCAAAGATTAGCTTAGTTTTATTTAAGTGTGAGTATAATTCGTTGTGACATTGTTGTGTTCAAGTATTAACCAAGATACAAGCGTAAATATAAATAAGAAAATATATATTTGAGGTTATTGAAATAAGGATCTCCAAAGAGGAAATTCACCAAGAGGAGATTTACCAATATAGCAATAAACGCAATTTTCACTTTTATATTTTAAGTTAGTTCTGTGTATTCCAAGATATATATATATATACAGCTTTTTAAAAGATGTTTGGTATTGGAAAAAATAAGCAGTAATTTTAATTATATTTTAAATTTAGGCTTGCTCATAATAACATGAATTATTCATATAGCTTTTATCTTAACAATAAATTATAAAGTATAATTAAAGTTCAACCAAAGTAAATCTAAGAGTTATAAATAAAACTATGCGTTTAAATTCGCTTTAAAAAAAAAAGTTTTTAGATTTTTAAATGTTCACATCTGTGGTAAAACGTCTCCGCTTATATAAAAAAGTTTTATAAAAAACTGTTTAATTAAATTATCATAATCAACTTATTTTAATAATAAAAGACTTCTGACTTTTACGAACTAAATAATTATAATTATAAAAATAAAACCGTAAAAATAAAACTTTCAATTGTATAAGTTATGAAAAAGCTATTGCCAAAAAAATTCTTGCACATATTCAATAAAAAAAAAAAACATTTCATATGTAATAATGTAAACAACTACCATTTTAAATTGAGATCTAGTTGGCAGTTTTGTTTATAGCACATGCGCTAAAATATCGTCATATAACTACTATTAAACCATTATTTTTCTCAAAATTTTTAATTAATACTTTTTCTTATTTAAAATAAATTAATAAACAAATAAATTTGCCAAAAAAAAAAAAACAACAACATTTGTACTATCAAAAATATTTTTGCATATATAAATTTATATATCTCCTTTTATTTTTACCTCGTTTAATTAAAAAAAATAATTGCATATGTTAAGGTCCTCAAAACTAAAATCTGCCGACTGAAACATCAAATGCCTACTATTTTTCTATATAAATGATAATATGTAGAATATGATCTTCATATGAATAACTTTCTTTGGTCTTTGTATGACACACCCCCCACCCTTTGAAATTACCCATGCAAGTTTTTTTGGACTTCCGCTTTTATAGCGATCGGACGCACAGTGGGTCAGATTACCCATTTTTATGCCAAAATTATTTTTTTTATTAAATGTTACTAAATTAGCTTTAAATAACATATTTGGAGCTTCTAAATAAATTTTTGATTAAAACAAAATTTTTTTAAAATTGTATTTCAAGTTTTATTATAATTTTTCAGCGTTCAAAAATTATGATCATATAAAATTTGCAACCCCCTCAAAATAAGGGGGGTTTAAACTTTATATGGTCATAGTTTTTGAATGCAAAAATATTTTACTATGAAATTTAAAATTTATCAATGAATATAAGTCTAGTTAAAAATAGTTCAAAAAATATTTCATCTACTTGTTCTCACGTTTGGGGCTGGGAGGGCCCTCAAGGGGGCTAAAATTTTGGGGTTTTATTGTTCCCAGGCTCAAATCATTGCTTTTTTTTGCAAAGCATCCTTATTTGACATAAGTATAAACATATAAATGTTTGGAGTTTGCTCCATGTCTAGAAGTTAGATATCTCGTAGACCAAAAAATGCTGGCACTACCCCTGCTGTTATGGTGGTACTTTGTTAAGGCTCAAACCAATTTTAAAATATCATATATATACTTAATAAAGATTTTAAAGTATTTTCAGACTGGAGGGTTTTGGAGGTTTTTTTAATTAACTAAAAAAAGTAAAAATTTTCACTCAAAAAACTTACAAAAATACATCAACTTCAAAGTTAAATAAAAATTCTTACTTACAAGCAAAAAACTTGCAGCAAAGTTCTGTTGTTTAAAAAAAGATAAATCTATCAATATATAAAAAAATAATAGCGCATATATTTTAATTCATAAAACAATTTACAATTTATGTGTAACAACTTATATTTTTAATTAATTTTTGTTTTAAAATTTACAAATCTAAAAAAAAATGTCATCTTCAACAGATTGTATAAACTTTAATTTAAAAGTTAATGACTAACAAATATCATTTTATTAAAGCTTTATAAGTATGGAAAACAACTATTACCATTAAACCTACATTAAACACAGTTTTTTTTTTTTAATTTTGACACAATTTTGTGGGACGTGTTATAAGAGCTTTTCATAAAAAAAAAAAATTTACGGAAAAGTTCAAATAAAGTAAACTATACTTTGTAACTTTTCGTGAAAAAAGTATATTTGCATAGCGTGCTAACTATGGTAAATGTTCAGTCAACAGAATTTAATGTATTCAAAGCAGAGCAAGAAAAACTAATAAAAACATTAAATAGGACCATCGAGAACTAAAAAATTCAAACTTACTATTTGAATTTTTTAGTTCAGAAAGACTAAAAATGCTCGAAAATGCTGAATCTGTCAAATCATCACCTTTATTATCACGGGCAAGTGTTGTAAGTGGAAGAACCCCAGTGAAAAAAACGGTAGAGCAAACACGGCTGTTTCAAGGTGGACTTACGGCTTCTTGTTATTTTTTCAAAATAATTACTTAAGTGGTGTTACTAAAACTTGCATAACTTTTGAAATATTTAAGATAATTTCGTTCTGTAAAAAGAATATGAACACCATATAAATGTTTTATGTTATAACATTTAATGAAAGAATCAAAGACTGCTTTGATTTTCAAATAAATGCGATAAATGACGAACTTGGCTAAATTTCGAAATTTTTAAGGTACTTTTTAGCAAAAATAATCGGAAAAGTTATATTTCTGTTGAGTTATATGTAATATAAACATAGTTAGACCAATTTGAAAACATATATACTCAATTTACACCAAATGTGAACTGATACAGGCACTACAATTAGCGGGAAAAAAAAATACGCAAAAAATAATTTATTTTTTTTAAAAAAAACTATTTTTTTAAAAAGATTAAAAAAAAAGTTTTTATTTGTTTTTTCTTTCGGTCGTATAATTCTTTACACTTAGATTAATATTAATACTTTTCTGTAGAAAAATAACACACCATTTTTTTTATAAATATACTTAACAATAAAGGCAATTAAAAAAACTCGTTTTTGTGGATTGTCATAAATATATTTTTTTAAGTTAATATAGTGGTATATGTTATATAAGTAGTAAATGATATTTGTACATGCAATTGGTATTAGTTTTATTTCCATTCCGTAACGAAAATACTCTTCATAATCTTGCTGAATTCTTATGTTATTCTAAAATTCCGCGTAACTTTGTTTACTTTATACCTGCAAAATTTATCTCGCCGAAACAGTTATTTCAATAAAATTCCTTAGTAAGTAGCTTGGGAAGTAACGCAATAAAGTTACGTCATCGCTTAGAAATGTTAACACAAGTTTAAGCGTAAAATTAAATCAATTTGTTGTAAAACATGCCAAGTTTAAAAGCATATTCCCTAACATAGCAAGAGGTACATAAAATAATTTTTATATTTTCATCTGCATAAAAGGTCGAAATTTCAATAACTTACGTCATCCATCAAAAAATTAATATTTTACATTTAAAAGAAATAAATTTAAAAATATAAACGCATTAAAAATTAAGTTATAGTAACAAAATCACACGGATGACGTAGGAATCTGATAGAATAGACATTCATTTATAAGTGTTCAAAATTTCAATCATCAACCATGCAGCTATGTTAGGGAATCTTGGTTGGCCCCAGACAGGTTTTCGGTAAAAATCGCCAAAAACAGAAAAGTCATCCAAAATCATTTAAAATATTTTAACAATGTTTATTTTTATTTCGCCTAAAGTAAATATTTATTTAACGAAGAAAGATAGTTCTTGTAAATTTTTTTAATTCTAAGATTAAAACGTTTATAGAAAAAAAAAACCATTACTTTAAAGTTATTGAATTTTTATACTTTATATGCCGAAATTTTTAAAAAACTTTTTATGCGGAAATTGTTTTTGCTAAACTCGTGACGTAAGGCCCAATTTTACATTGCGTGAAACAGCCGTGCAAATAAACCTAATAAATGTTGTTACAGCCGAAAAAAAGAAAAGAGAAAAACGTAAAAATAATGTAATAATATTTGACATTAATCCATCGAAAGCAATCAATAAATCAAGTGCAATTAAGGAGGATTAAAGTTCAATCCAAGAAGTTTTTAATTCAATTAATCTGAAAGTCGAAGTTAAGC